TCCATGATTGGGTTGAATTCTCCAAAAATCTGATGGTACCATTGCTGCGTAGCGTAACATGGATCAAAAAGTGGGAAGGGGTCGTCACCTAGCTCACGAGCAACTCGACGTGCATGGGAACAAGTAAATCTGGTAGTCTGCCACCCCCCGCAAGTGCACTCTTGATCTGCATAGAGCACAACTTGCTTCTCCTCAGCCTTCCATGGTTGATTATCAGGTGCTATTGTAACCACTTTGTACTTCTGGTTTCTCTTGCTAAACTGGTTTACCTGTTGCCTCATTGATTTTTTCCGGGCCTCTTCAAACAGTTTCTGGGCTTAGGAGAAAGAACATTCTGACATTTCTGGATCATATCAATGTTTTCCTGAAACAGATTGTTGCTTTTCTGAAAGGATGCTAGGATCAAAGCTGTGATTGGGAAGAATCTAGCACCTTTCATAACATTATTGAAACTCTCTGAAATGTTAGCGGTCATTTCTCCCCAATGATGCCCTCCATCGTAAAAACAGGTCCATTTCTCAACACCCAGCTTCTGAAGCCAACGAGCTGCCTTGTCATTTTTTTCTTCTAATTTTTGCCACTCTGCCAAATACCTTGTCTTTTGCGTTGCTGAACCAATCATTTGTCAGTTGCCTCCCAGTTTCTCCTTTCGAAAATGCCCAACCAAGTTTGGTTTAACTTGCTCTAGACAATACCGGTGGACTCCCATCTCTGGATATTTTTTGCAACATGATGTCCATGGCAGTAAGGATACCCTGATTTTGGTTAGAGATAATACAGGTCTTCCTATCCTGTAGAACAAACTTTTTCAAATACTTCAAGAACCATTTCCAGCTGTGATGGTCTCTATGTCCACAAGAGCAAACGCGATGGGAACAATTGTGCCATTTGCACACTTCACGCATGCCACAATTAGTTTTCCTTGGTAGGATCCTCGAAGGTGGGTGGCATCGATGGTTATTACTGGCCAACAAGTATGAAATAATTGTATAGGTGGCTCAAATGCCCAGAAAACATACCTACATATAAACCTTTGCGAGCTTCCTGAATTTTTCTTAAACTTGAATTGCACACGAGTGTCCGGGTTTGACATGAACAATGCATCAAGGAAGCTGGGCAATTGTTGAAAATTACTTTTTCATGTACCATACAGAGCCTCAAGTGCTTTTCTTCTACCATGCCATGCCTTCTTGTAGCTACATTCGACTTGGTACCAAAACTTCTATTTGAATTTGGACAACTGCAAAATCTGGATGTTTTTGCACATTTTGGGCAACTAGTCTAGCAATCATAGAAGACGTGACATTTCAGGACTCGTTTCTCTTGTTTGCCCCAAGACAGTTGTGGGAATCGGACCATACCACCATTTTCCAAGTATGGTCCACTTGCAAAATGGTCTAGAGTTTCTTTAACCTTTCTAACTGTTCCTATCTCAGCTTCACAAAATATTAACAAGTCATCAGCAAAACTTAATGATGATATATTCAATTTCTCACAGTATGGATGTTTCACAAAGCCATCCATATTTGCCACCAATTTAAAGCTTCTGGTGAGGTATTCCATTACTAGCACAAAGAGTAATGGAGACATCGGATCACCTTGCCTCAATCCTCTTTGACCTAGAAAATACCCAACACTGTTTCCATTAAGGTTCACTGAGTAAGTAGATGATGTAACACATTCCATAATCCACTGTCTGAACCTTTCAGGAAACTTATATTCTTGCAACATTTCTTCAAGGAACTCCCAGTGAACTGAATCATACGCCTTCCTTAAATCAACCTTCTTCATACATGATGGCTTTGCTGATTTCCTGTTGTACAGTCTGATTAACTCTTGTGCCAGCAACACATTATGTAATATTAATCTGCCCTTGATGAAAGCTCCCTGATTGTACTCCACTAAATCTGGTAATACAATGCTCAATCTTTTGCAAATCATCTTAGAGATGCATTTATATATAGTATTATAGCAGGAGATTAGCCTGTACTCTGTGGCATTCTTTGGGCTTGCATTCTTTGGTATTAGTGCCATCATGGTTGCATTGATCTACTTCAACAGTTTCCCAGTTTTGAAGAACTCAAGTATGGCATTGCTGAAATCATCTCCCACTATGTTCCATGCCTTCTTATAGAACCCACTATTATATCCATCAGGACCAGAGCTTTTAGTTTCATCAATACTAAATAAAGCTTCCTTTACATCTGCTTTGGTAAATTCTTTAATCAAAAGTACCTGTTGATCAAGGTTCAATTTACTTCCTACTTCACAGATTTCATTCTTGACATTGGTTCTTGCCACCTTTTTCCCCAACAGCTCTTTACAGTAACCTATGAAGTGTTCTTCCACTCTGCATTGGTCCTCCACCAATTCCCCTTGTTCTGAAACATATGACTTAATCCTATTCCTGCTTATTCTTTGCCTGACTACTGCATGGAAATACTTGGTATTCATATCACCATCACATATCCACTTTTCTTTTAATTTCTGTGCCCAAAAACTGATTACTGCTCTTGATGCTATAGTATATTCCAGTACTGCTTCTTTTTCTTATTTCTGTATTTCCTCATTCAATGGATCCTGCTTTAGGGCCTCCTGAATCTTATCCATTTGTATTCTACATTCCTGCTCCTTCTCTTCTATATTGGCAAAATTCCTTTTATTAAACAGTCTCAGTGCTGATTTCAGCAATTTTTGCTTTCTCACTAGTTGGAATTGCTTAGTACCTTCCATTTCTAGTTGTCAACCCTGCTCAATTGTTGATAAGAACTCTGGATGTTGTGCCCACATGTTAAAGTATCTAAATGATCTTTTACACTTTTGTATTCCTTCTCCCCACCTGATTAGCAAAGCATTGTGATCTGAAATACCAGCAGGCATTACTGTACAGTATGCATCAGTATACGTTTGTAGCCATTTATCATCAAACACTCTATCCAACTTTGAAAAGATTCTCAATGCACCAATTTGTTTATTTGTCCAAGTAAATCTACCCCCATAAGTCTGCATTTCCCATCATTCATTCTCTTCAACCAGTTTCTTGTAGTTCTCTGTATCAGCACTGACTTCATTCATCCCCCCAATCTTGTCTTCTTTCTGTAATATACAATTATAGTACCCCATAACAAGCCATTCTTCATTCACAATAGTGCTAAGTTGTCTTAACTCTGCCCAAACATTTGCTCTTCTCTGTGCAGTGTATTCATTATATACTATTGTCAGGTTGAAAGCTTTAGCTCCACCCATCTCCTTCACATAACAGTGGATATATTGTTGAGTTATATGTGCCACCCTTATAATATACTCATCTCTTCTCCAAATTAATAGGATTCTTCCCTTATTTCCTCCTTCACTGTTTTCCACATAGTCATATTGTCTCCATTTCCTCTTCATCAACTCCTCCACCTTTTCCTCATCCAATTTAGTTTCCAACAAACCTACAATACCAACATTATTTACAGAAAGAAAGTTTCCAATCTCTCTGTGTTTCAGGGGACTGTTAAGTCCCCTTATGTTCCATGAGGTGATGTTATTCATGTTTACTAGGCCCTGGATCAGGGTGACTAGAAACAGAATAATAGATAGTATTAACTGACCTCATTTTATCACACATTCTTCCTTCATTCACCTTACAGCCTTTCTGATTCAATATCTGAATCCCTTTCTCACATTTGCTTGCATCTTTCCTTGGAGCTATGACTGTACTCTTTACTGGTGGTCTGCTGTCAGGAGTTCTTGTTGGAGACTTTTCCATTCTACTAATCCACTTACTTCCACATGTCTCCCCAATTTCCCCTTCTTCTTACTGAATTTCCTTTCCTTTTGATGTCAACTGTGGTTGATCCTTCTGTCCAACTTCTTTTGGATTCCAAACCTTAGGAACTGGAATCATACATTCATCAGACGAATGACCATAACCTTTACAATTCTTACACTTGACTAGCTTCCATTCATAGTTGACTTTCTGTTTTTTTAATTCACCGGCCTCATTTTCAAACCACACCTTATCCTTCACCTGTGCTTGCATTTCCGCTTCCACTAACACTCTAGCATAGGCAGTTCTAAGTTTTCGCTCAGTCATGTCATCCATTTCTATCGGAATGCCAATCATACTTACCAATCTGCTAAGTGTAGTGTCATTTCAATATTTAAGAGGCAGTTTAGGAAATTGAATCCACACAGGGAACAATCTTAACTTCATGCAATTTCAGCTCATCAGTTACAGACCATTCCTTAACAATGAATGATTTCTTATCAAACAGATACACAGGGTGTTTGAGTACTTCTTCCTTCACAGAGATTGATTTGAAACGCACAATGTACACTCCGTTTTCAAGCAGTAAGATCTTATCTACACCCATTTTTCCCCATATTCTTCTGATAAAACCACTCAGCAGTGCATACGGTGGATTCGCCCCTAAAACATAGCATAAAACAGATGGTTTTCAATACTCAATCTCTTTTGCACTTCCTCCTTCGTGATCTTCCCAACTTCACTATCATTAACTTTATTCGGTTCAATGAATTGAAGCTTTTTTAGCTTGGTTATTCAGTAATTGAGCATTTATCCCATCCCAAACACTCTGCTTCTTCAGTTCATTATGCATCAAATCCCCACAATTAGCATTCCCACCATCATCTAAATCACTTCCCATAGTAATTACACGATGATTACAGATTTTTTCATGCATTAAATGATCTTCAGACACATTTAATGCAGAATAAGGGCTACGAACCTGGATTTGATTCGCATTCATTGCAGTTGCTTTCACACTTCGATTCCCAACCAGATCTTGCTCCTGCTCCGTCTTTTCACCCGATTCCCTCTTCTTCCTTGATTTCTTTGTCATAGCAGACATCAATTTGTCGAAGAAATCATTAGCGAAAGAAACACACACTTGAGGTGTTTTCGCCCTTAGTGTACTGAGAGAGAGATCATTTGCTTCCTAAAATTGTAACAAGTTATTGTTAAAAGTATGTATTCTGTGATAAACTTATTCCGAAGCTTTCAGTATTGTGTTTGCATTAACGTATTAAAAAAAACACAATTTTTAGAAAAAGTCAACATTGACATGGGATTTTGTTAATAATTATAACATCATCACGAAAACAGTTCTTCTTTGGATTGTTCTTCATTTGGCAATGTCTAGATCAATTAAGACTAGCAACTAAATCCTGAGGTACCCACTCGGGAAATGCCGGGCTGAAATAGCTTGACACAACCCGTGAGTTGAGAAGCTCAACAATTGGTGCAAATTTGACACACCGAGGAGTTTTGTACTGATCAATCGAAGCTCCTGAGGCAATGGCAAGCTCATCAAATGTGCCACCCTTTACAACTTTGATCTCCAACGGACCAACCGTCTTATGAGAAGACCGTGCAAGGCGATAAATACTGGTCAGCGACTCTTCAACGGTAAGGCAACAGGTTTCGAACACCGAATCCGGAATTGGGTGGGTCGATGATCCGGTTTGGGTAATCTCCCAATACAATACATAGTGTCCTGGAATGGTACTGGTATCCGCAAAGCTGGTGTAATCGGTCAGCTGAGCATCAAACGGAACCAAATGGGCCGTCGCCTTTTTCACCGCCGTTTGTAACTCCAATTCATCAGTCTTGTCGTAATCAATACTCAGGATTACGTTTCTCCGGCAGACGAAGTTGAACTGGGGGGCCTTGTTCTTAAAACCGGCCACCCTCAGCACATCTCCGACCCGGTAGCGATATAGGCCGGCGTAGGTTGTGACGACGAGCTCGTACTCTTGTCCTAATTGAACATCCGCCAGATCAACCAGTTCTTCTTCTTCCTTTTGTTTGTTGTTTCGGTAAATTGGCAGGAACTCAAAGTAGGCGAGGGAAGGAATGAGAGTGTAAGCGATTTCAGTTGGATTGCAAAGAGGGTTAAGGTTAACCCCACAGAAGCACTCCGAAGAGACGTACGTTGTGGAAACAATAGGTAAGCCATTGCTGTAGTAATCCAGAGTCGGGATGTACTGTGACATGGTTCCGGTCACAATAACGTCCACGTATTTTGTATTCGGCCATAACTTAGGAATGATTCCTTGCCAAGATTCGCTCCCGCATTGCGCCTCGATGAATTCCGCCAGCTCCGGATCGGGTTGTTTGAGGACTTTCATGACCGCATCCCTCACGGAAGTATCAGTGATTTGTGGGTTCAGAGTACCCGTTCGGATATCATCGCATAAAAGCTTCCAATGCTTTTCTAGGAAATGGAAAACCCGAATGAAACCCACTGCGAAAACACCGCCAACTCGTAACACTTGTTTGTGTTGGCACAACCCACAAAGCATTTGGGAGTAGATGCTTTGGTATGAGTCCAGGCAGAGAAATGTCTCGATCGGGCTAGTGTACGAATCGTATGGATCAAAATACGCGTTGTTGGAATAACTCTTGCCGAACCTAGTGGAACCATTGCGAGCTATTAGTCCGCCTGGAGTCTTTATTTCGGCGCAGATGAACATGAAGTAAAGTCCTTTGCCTTTGTGTAAGCCAGGAACGTATTTGCTAACCACGGGCATCACCAGGCTGCACAGGAATTGCCACCTCCCCATCTCTTCCTCCGTCGTCGGTATCAGTTTCGGCTGTCCACCGGAGGTGCCGGAACTTATCACCAGCTCCGAAATGGGTTGGGAGCAAAGTAATTGGGACGAATCTCCGTTTGCGATGCGAGTGACATCAGGCCTAATCTCCTCGTATGTGATGACCGGAATGGTGTTCTTGAAAGTTCTTTTATCAGTGTGACCGTCAAGGCCATGCCTCCGCAAGTATTCGACGTCCGCGTTTCGAGACAAGATCTCAGTTAGCACTCTTTCTTGAACCTCATCAGCCTTTTCCGTCACTTCTTCTATAAACTCTAGAGCTTTCTTGTACTCCTCCACAACAGCATAAGTACACTCTTCTTGTGCTTTATGCATGATTTCTTTTGTTGCGTTTTTCTGGATGAATCGAAATTATAATTTGTTTTGTAAAAGGGGGAAGGAAAAGAGTTTGTGGAATCACGAACTGAGATATGGGTTTTGGATGAGGAAGAGGTGGGGGTATTATGTAGAAACAGTTGTTGCAATAATTTGATTTTGCTTTTGCCCCCTTTTTTTGGTGGGTTAGCAATAATGATAGGAACCAAAAAAAAAGGAAAAAAAAAGAGACTTTTATTGGGATCATTTTGAAAAACGCTTTGTAAGGTGGCGTCAACTATTCACTCGTAAAAGATTTGCCCACAAAATATTTTATATTAGTATCAAGTGGAAAAATTATACTCCCTCCGTCCCATAATTATTGTCCAATTTTACTAAAATGAAAGATTTTATTTTTTGTCAAACTTAACTATATTTTACCTTAAACAACTGAATATACCCCTACATAAGTAATTGTTTAACCACTAAGATTTTATGGATAATGTTTTTTACTAAGGACAAATGTGTAACTTGATCCAAAAAAAGTCAAATTGGACAATAATTTTGGGACAAAATTTTTTGGGCAAAGTGGACAATAATTATGGGACAGAGGGAGTAATAAATATGAAAATGTATTTAAAATGTTTTATCTTAAATTAGAACAACATACAAAATAAAATTTATGACAAATCTAAATGTTTTATAATAAGTACCAAAGTGAATAGCATTATTCATTAATCCAATTGAACTTCCAAGGGGTAGTGAAATTCTATTTTGGTTGAATCTACCATATATTCTCTGAGTTTTAGTAATGCTACCACATACCCTATTGACTTATAGTCAACCTACAAAATACCCCTAAACATACAAATACTATAATCAATTTTGTGTAAATGGTCAAAAATACCCTTTAATCTGTATTTTTAGATCATTGTATAAATTTTATAAAAAAATATGTCATAAGTTAAATTTAAAAAATATTCAATATTGATTCTTTTACCTTAATACATTTAAATAATAAAATTTTGACATTAACTATACCTTGTCTTTTGAAATAAAAATTATTTTCAAAAATTAAATTCTTTTTTGTTTTGAAGCATATTAAGCTTATATTATTAGTCATGGATTAACTTTCATATATTAACTTGTTATTATTAAATTTGAAAATGAAAAGTTAAGTAATTTTTATTTTTAATGATCAACAATGAAGAAAATCAAATCACAGAGGAGAAAAGAAAATTAAGTGCATGTAAACTGAGGTCATTTTCGTAGTTTTAATTTTAACTCCTTGTTTGGGAGGTATATGGTAATATCACTCAAACCGTAACGGGACTCTAGCCGCTGAAATATATATATATATATATATATATATATATATATATATCCTACTATATTAGAAACAAAAACCTCCCTTTCAAACACCTTATATGATTGCCACGTGGCATGTAGAAAATACTAAATTGTCCTTTTGTCTAACCATAACTAAATTACTAAATCTCCTTTTGCACTAAATCTCCCCTTGGATGAAGCTTATTACAAAGCTATTAAAAATCTCCAAAACTAAGTATTGATTTGGCACGACCAATGGAGAACATCAATAAATCATCTTACTAATATTTAAATTTATTAGGATGCTTTTATATTTTATTTAACATTTACTTCAACACATATAGTCGATTAAGCTATTTATATTTAATAAGTAACACTTATAAAACATTTCTAAAACATACATGGCGAAATACAATTTATTTATTTTTTGCGAAATATAAATATTTCTATGATCACACTTATAAAACATTTCTAAATCCTTCAAACATTTCTAAAATATATCGCTCCAAATACAAAATTTTATTTTTTTCAAATATAAATATTTCTAAGATCTACAGATAGACTGGGCAGGGACCAAACATCACTAGTATATATATAAAAGGCAGCTGAAATATGCACGAAATCCTCCACCTAAAACCATTATTTGCGGATAACGAAAAGATTTGCCTTCATCCCTAAGTCATCAAGTAAGTTCCTCATAATTAATTTCTTCTGTACCAAGACAATAATTCACTTTGTTGAACAAAACACATAGAGCATTTGTTAACGAAAAACATTGCTGGCAGACATGGAAAGGAGTCAAGAATTTGGAATTTAGTAAATGATTGATAATGCAATGGCCATCCACCACATGGAATCATAATGAACAAACTGAAACTAGAATTAAAAAAAAAAAAATTCATTTAGATCAAGATTTGAATGCTACAAAGCCACAAGCTAAAATCTGCATGATGGGAAAGGGTGATAATGGAGTTTTGATCGCGTGAGGGTGATAAAATCTGGAATCATATGTCATCATCAAATTAAAACTTCACAACTGTTTTGATGCAGATGGGTGATAATGGAGATAGCTTCACTGAAGCATGATGAAAAGTAAGTAAAATGAAAAAAACAAAAAAATAAAAAATAAAAATCATGCAGACCAAGATTAATTGAATGCTATGAAGTGACAGGCTGAAAGCTGCACCATAAATTAAAATTCTTTTGCAGATGATGTAAGAAGTTGTTTTCCGACCCATAACCTGATGACCATCTCCTTAATTGCTTATTGGTCCGCAAAAGAACAAAACGATAACTTCACAAATACTGTTTGATAGAGATGGGTTATAATGGAGTCTGAAATTGTGGGATATGATAAGAGTAATTGCTTAATTTTTACAGACCGAAACTGCAACTATTGAATGAGAGACGCATCTAAAATAGTTATTTAATAGCTTGTGGCTGCCGATTGCAAATGTTTCACAGATCCTTGACTAAAAAAATTGAATGGATATGTATAATTAATTAATTGCGTACCCTTAACTTCTCTATCCGTGAAAATACGTATTTTGTTGATGCCGACATTTCAACAATACCACATTGCAAAATTAAAGATGACCTAGCTGGGTTTAGCCAAGAACAAAAACACGCATTGATGATGGGGTGAATTTACAACTTCGATTTTATCTTCCGATGATTGTTGAACAAATTAATACATGACCTGTTTGTCTATATATTACAATGGAATGGTTGGATATCAAGCTTCCACCTCAGCATATCAATGTGCTATTATTACTACGAAATCAGGTCCAAACTGTTTAAGCAAAATTTCTACTGAAAGGTCAATGCTGCCAGTATAGGTTTCTTTCCAGGGAAACGTGGATTAAGACAGGGTGATCCTTTATCTCTTTTGTTATTTGTGTTGGTTGTTGAATACCTTATTAGAGCTATGAAATAGGAAACAACAAAAGAAGGGTTTAGTTTTCATCCTTACTGTGAACAGTTGAAGATCTCCACTCTGAGTTTTGCAGATGATTTACTAATATTTTGTGGTGCTGAGCCTGCAACTGTAAGAAGGATAAAAAGGGTACTAGATCATTTCACTGAGACCACTGGCCTCCAAGTTAATGTTCAGAAATCCAATATATATTTTGGAGGGGCAGATGAAGCTGTGATAGCTCAAATTCAACACATTTTGGAGTTTGCTGTAGGAGAATTTCCAATGAGATACTTGGGAATGTCTTTAACACGAACAACTTGGACAAATGGAGACTGTCAAAAATTGGTGGAGAAGATGACTGCAAGAATAAAAAGTTGGTCTTCAAGGAACTTGTCTTATGCAGGAAGAACATTGCTGATAAACTCTGTGCTGCTGAGTTTAAACTCATACTGGGCCAGTATTTTTTTGATCCCACAGAGTGTCATACAACAAATAGTAAAATGTTGTAGAGACTTTTTGTGGGGAAAGAAGGAGACTGGGAAAGTTTGGGCTTTGATTGCTTGGAACCAGTTATGCAGACCAAAAGGAGAATGTGGTCTGAGTATCAAAGAACCTGGAATATGGAATAGAGCCCTGTTAGGGAAACAACTGTGGGATATTGCAAATAATAAAGAGAGCTTGTGGATCAGATGGGTGCATATGTATTACATCAAAGGGAAAAATTGGTGGGATTACAAGGTGAAAATGATATTAGTTGGCATTGGAAGAAGGTATGTGTCATTAAAGATCAGTTAAAAGGAGGCATCAATCAAGGAGTTTGGCAGGTAGATAATGGGAAACAGTACACGGCCAGTGGAGGATACAGGTGGATGAGAGGAAGAGATCAGAAGTTTGCTGCTGCTTGTATAGTCTGGAATGGATACAGTCTCCCAAAGCACAACTTTATGAGGTAGCTAGCTTGGCATGGCAGGCTGGTGAAGTTCCATGTGCCAGTTACTGAGACTGAATGTTGTTTATGTCATCAGGCAACTGAAAGTATTGACCATCTGTTCTTCACGTCCTTATGCAAGGAACCTTCTACAGGAAATGCAAAGGTGGATAGGATCAATGGTGAGAATTGAGTCTCTGAATGTAGCAACACTGAGAAGGATATGGAGATTTAATAAGATCAAATAGAAGATATTCTTTGCATCTTTAAACTCTGTTGTGTATAATCTATGGCAAGGATGAAATGGCAGGGGTGGAGAAGACAGAAAATGAGAGAATAGGCAACATGAAACAGGAACTAAGCTGGAAATTTGTATATACCAAAAGAAAGTTTAGATTAGTAGAAAAACAATTCCTATCTGCCTTAGGAATTGTTGTCTGAGTAGAATATATGTAGAGTTTGGCAGTTGTAAAACGTTTGTGTGCTTTGAGTTATATACCAATTTACATTTCATAAAAAAAAAATTTCTACTGATATGACTTGCTTGAAATCCCTTAATTTCAAAACAATTAGGTGTGTGTCGTAGGACACCCTCGATCAAAAGATGTCAATCAAACCTAGAATTTGGTTGTGAAATAGGGCAAACGTAATCAGCGTGCCTAGCTAATTAAATTGGAAGGAAAAACGTTGAAACCCAAACAATTGAACGAACCAGAGATGTAAAAGGTGAAGTTAAGAACGTAGTTTGATGAACTCAAAGCTCGGAGGAGGAAAACTTAGACGTGTAAATTAATGAATACCATCTAGATCAACAACCTAGTGGTATCAATTGGTGGTGCGATCTAAGCATGGCAACTTGTTAACAGAATATATAACACTACAAAAGATGGCTTTTTGTTCATATGGATTGTGTCGCGGAAAGTAGTAGAAGTGCAGTGAATAATTTATTGCAGAGTAAGTTACGGCAAATTAAAAAAAAATGACGGGCTGCAACTTTTGGCGACGCTTATTCCAAATGTGCTGCAAAAGATGCGACACTTAGGCACATCAAATTCAAGACACTTGTTCTGGTCATTTTGATGCAATCTTGCCATAGAATTACGGCGTTTGTTTGTTTTAGTTTCGCTTCTTGCTACATATATGATGTGATACATTGATTTAGTATTCTGAAAGTGTAGCAATTTTCTTGTGGCGTGAAATTATGGCAATTTTTCATAAAAAGCTAAAAAATTATAACAAAACACCAGTAAAATAAATTATCGCCTTTAAAAGGCGACATATATTTGTGTCGTTAATCGAATTACGGCACAAAAGAATTTGCAACGCACATTCTATTTTTTTTTAATCTTAATAAGCGACCCATTTTTGAGCTATACAAAGAATATGAAATTCCCATTTTTAGGGGGCATCATTGGTTTTTTTCCCTTCTTTTTTCATAATTCTTTATGCGGCACATCATTGTGCCATTATATGTAATATTGTGTCACTTGAGATTTACTTTAGGGAGCAATAAATGGATCGATGGAAGCCAACTCGTCTTAGCAATGACAGGAGACACATGAGCAAGCAGGGGGACTTTATTAGGGACCAAAGGGGTAGCTTTACACTAAATGTAGGGAGAACCAGCATCACAAGTACAGATCAACTGGGGAAACTCAACCGATTGGATGAACCCATTATCGGAATTTTTCAAACGTGGCTTTACCATGGTGGGTGCTTTGGTTAAAAAATCAACTAGAAAAAGGAGTAGAGAGATCTATATTTTTTTTTTTTTGTAAAAAAAAATGTGGAGACCGAATTCTCAAAATCCGACCTACTAATTAAATTAGTAGTTCGGATTTTAAGAATCCGATTTAATAAAATAATAATTTTTTTTTCTGAAAAATATATGTGAGAAAAATGTATTGAAAGTCAAATAATGAACAGTCAAAGGTTGGATTTTAGGAATCCGACCTTGTTTATTTTCATTAAAAAATATAGGCGGGAAATTTGAAAATTAAGAACAGTACAAGATCGGATTTACAAAATCCGACCTTATTTAAGCATACCTAACAGTAGGTATCGGCATTGAATGGACGTTATTAGCTGGCAGAAAGTCGGATTCGTGAAATCCGGCCTTAATGTTAAATCGGATTTTTTAAATCCGATTTTACTTATAAAATCGGATTTTAGAAATCTGACCTTTTTGTGTTATAATGGGGCGACGGAAAACACTGTTCACGTATCGGGATTTTTGGTAAAGTAGGCTATTTCTTGAAGGAGGAGGTAATTTTAGTGGCGATTTGAAGATTTTGTTCACGATTCTTCGCAACGGATGTCTTAAAACCATTTCATAAGAAGGTTAGTTAATGTTTTGATGTATTTAGAATTATTGTTGTTATTTTCTTTGTAAAAGTTTAGAACTAGGATGATGTATAAGGTTTTAGGGTTGATGTAGGGTGTAGTTGATGGTTGTTGTTGTGTACGTGGTATTGAACGTTCAATTTAGTAAAATGCTTGAATTTGGCCTAAACTTTTGAATTTGTAGGGGGTTTAGTAAATTTAGTGTTGATTATGCCTTGTTTGTGGTAATTGTTATAATAAGTTGTTTGATAATGCCTTGTTTGTGTCATTTTTTTTTAATAATTTGTTCATGATGTGTTGTAATTCATGTAATCAACAGATATAAATGGCGTTTAACGGTCCATATTTTATTAATGTCTATTGGTCGAGCAAATTTGTAGTGAAGAATGGGATTGTGAATAGTTTCAACAACATGCCGGACGATTCCTTTGTGATTGATCATAAGTTATTGTACAATGATTTGGTTGGACTGATTTGTGAAAGAGTGGGGTGGAATATAAAAAATGTGAATTTGAGTCTATCGATTTTGTATGATACGATGCGCAATGGTTTTAGGCGTATCGCCAAAATCAAGGACGACGCATCGTTGCAAGTGTTGTATTTCCTCCCAAGTTCGACATATATTGATTTGTATGTAGATTTGGAGGTGGCGGGTACTTCTAGGTCCCATTTGGAAGTAGGGACAAGTAGTGGTAGGCCGAATGTGGAGAATGTCGATTATATGGAAGATGATGATGTGGGTGGACCGTTATGGAGGATGGCGATCACATGGAATATAATCACGGTGAAGATGATGAGGTCTACACATCGATAAGTGATCAAGGCAATAAAAACCAATCAATATCCGAAGGAAGTCGGGAGAGTGATGAAGACGTCGAAGACAAATTCGCCACAAAGGATAGGCACATATATCGTTTACAGGGTACATGGGATCATACAAAAGTGGACAAGGATGATTTTCAACTTACCATGTGGGACGGGACAACCGCAACAATTGGGATAGGGACTTGTTTCAAGAATAAGGAAGAAGCAAAAAATGGTATTGCAGCGTGGAACATAGAGCAAAAGAGAGAGTTTTAGGTGAAGGAAAGTGATGGTTCAACAAGGTATATTTGGTGCAAATCCCTAAAAGAGTCAACCCCTAAGGGTTATGTTCCTTACCGTTGGAAGGTACGTGCCTCCTTGAGAGACCACGGTTTGTGGGAGATTGTGAAATGGGTGCCCGAGCACAATTGTATGAATGTCACCGAGGAAAACAATAATCGGAATGTGAGCGCAACGCTTATTGCGCATCTCATAAGGCATAAGGTTGAGTTGGACCCAGATTATGAAGTGAAGCTCGTTCAGGAAGAAGTGAAAGACTGTATGCATGTTGATATTCCTTACCACAGGGCATGGGAGGGAAGGAGAAAAGCTATCGATCTTGTTTACGGCGACTGGATTTCCAATTTTGACATACTTCCAAGGTATTTACTTAAGTCCTATCTAATTTTTTTGATTTGTTTGTAATTTAGGAATAAAATAAGGATTAATTTTTTTTATTTTAATTTAGATTTTTCGCCGCCCTAGAGAAGAGCAACCCCGGCACAGTTGTAGAGTGGGAATGGCAACCGGGTTGGACCGATATAGAGAGGACGTTCAAATACATTTTTTGGGCATTCAAGCCTGCAATTGATTGTTTTGCTAAATGTCCTCCGGTGATTAGTATCGAAGGGACGCACTTGCGCGGCGGATACAAAGGTAAATTACTTGCTGCAATGGTCAAAACTGCGAATAAGCGCATCCTGCCAATTGCATATGCGATCGTGGATGAAGAGAGTGAGGAAAGTTGGTCAGTCTTCTTGAAGCATTTGAGGAATCATGTTATATCCGACCGGCCTGTGTGTGTTATATCCGATCGGCACAAGGGTATCATCAGTGCAATACGCCTAATGCCCGAATGGAATGCATACCACCGGTTTTGCCTTCGTCATGTCCGTAGTAACTTGGTGGCGCAGTTTCGAAGTAAAAAGATCAAAAGGTTGTGTTGGGAGATGGGCACGAAACTTTCTAAGTCTAAATTCAAAGAACTAAGGAATGAGCTACGTGATTTTAGCAATGATGCTTATTTGTATCTCGAGGAGATTGATGCTTGTCAGACAACGAACATTTCTGAGAGCTACAACAACGTCCTCAAGGGCGTTCGTTTCTTGCCGATCCGAGCTTTGGTGGAAGCCACTTTTATTAAGACTGTGGATTTGTTCCAGGAAGAATACGTGAAGTCGAGGAAATGTATTACTCCGGTCCCAACTGACTTGTGGGAAGACTTCAAGAAAAAAGAAAAGAAAGCCGCGCAACACAAAGTCAACCGTTATGGTGCTATTAATGGCAAATTCAAGGTGAAAAGTAGAGCCCGACTTGGTGGTAAAGGGGACAACACGTACACTGTGAAATATGAAGAGAAGAAGTTTTCTTGCAAGAAGTGGCAAGAGTATAGGTTCCCTTGTACACATGCACTAGCTGTGTGTTGGAAGATGAAAGATCAACCAATCAATACGGTGAATCCATATTTCAGGGTTGTTGCTTGGCAAGACCAATTCAGTGGGCGCGATGACTTTTCCCCGGTCCCTGATATGAGAAGATGGCCTAAGGTTGGATGGACACTCGTTCCTAGCTATGAGCGAGTTATTATGCATGCTGGACCCGGTCGTTGGCAAAAGAAGAGATTTAAAATGCAAATAGGTTATAGGGGACGCAAATCGAGGGGTGAATGTTTTAGATGTGGCTCAAGGAATCATTTCACCAATGCGTGCCCAAAATCACACAAGAAATCCGATAGGACAAGGCTCAAGATCAATTGGGACGCCGATGGTATTCACAACGACTAGGATTGTTTGGTTGAATTGTTGTTTATGTGGCAAAACAATGTTTCATGTCTCGAAACTTTTGATATTCATGCTTTAGTTTGTTCAATTTGGAGTTTATGTTGTAGTTCTTCTGAATTGTATTGTATGCTTAATGAATTAGTTTATTTAATATATTGTTATTGTGTTTGATATTAGTACTTGTGTATCCGAATTATAAAATCCGATCTAGGCATAAAGCCGGATTTTCTGAATCCGAGTTTCAAGGAAAATCGGATTTTGTAAATCCGATCTAGGCATAAAGCCGGATATCCTGAATCCGATTTTTGCACTGTTCACACCTAGGTCGGATTTTGGTGAAAATTTGCAACCAACTTCGCAACTCTCTGTCCAAGGTCGGATTTCCTGAATCCGATTTTTGCACTGTTCACTCCGAAGGTCGGATTTTGGTGAAAATTTGCAACCAACTTCGCAACTCTCTGTTCAAGGTCGGATTTATAAAATCCGACATTGTTCCTCAATGAATAAATCGGATTTTCAGAATCCGATTTTTGACGAGTATATATCCGGTTGACCAAAATTTGGGGGAGTCAAAATCGACTCCCCCTTCTTCTCCAACCCTAATCCCTCCCCGGTTTACCAAGGTCGGATTCCCCCTTCCCGGTGATTTCCCCTCCCCGGCGATTCCCCCCCCCCTCCCGGCGATTCCCCTCCCCGGCGATACACACATGCAGGTAATTTGTCCATTTTTTTCATTTTTTCAATGTTTCATTTCTGTGTGTGTGTGTGTTGCCGGCAATGTGTGTGTGTGTGTGTTGCCGGCACTGTGTGTGTGTGATGCCGTGACTGTGTGTGTGTGTTGCCGGCACTGTGTGTGTGTGATGCCGTGACTGTGTGTGTGTGTTGCCGGCACTCAGTGTGTGTGTGTGTGTGTTGCCGTAACTGTGTGAATGTGTGTGTGTGACTGTGTGAATGTGTGACTGTGTGTGTGTGTTGCCGGCACTCTGTGTGTGTGTGTGTGTTGCCGGCACTCTGTGTGTGTGTGTTGCCGTGACTGTGTGAATGTGTGTGCGTGACTGTGTGAATGTGTGACTGTGTGTGTGTGTTGCCGGCACTCTGTGTGTGTGTGTGACTGTGTGAATGTGTGAATGTGACTCCGATGCAAGTTCCCGGTGTGTGTGTGTGTGTTTCCCTGTGACTCTGTGTGTGTGTGTGTATTGGAACATGGTATTGATGGTATTGGTATTGATAGTATTTGGTATTATAGGATTAAAAAATGGAGGGTTCGAGTTCCTCGCAACCTACACTGCAACATTTTAATCCGGCTCCAATAGATGACTCATTATTATACCTATATGACCATCATAGGGCGAAAGCCATTTTCGAGAACCATGAGGCTTTTAGTAAAGCCCTTAAAGGTAGGAGATTTGATAGTCATTTTTGGACTTGTATAGAGAAACCATCCCGGCATTGCCCTCTACAAGTCATAGATGAGATAAAGCGGGCAGGCTTTGGGGGGGTGATCCAACAAGGTTATATACAAGCGGACAATTGTTTGATCACCGCAATGGTTGAGAGGTGGAGGCCTGAAACTTATACCTTTCATTTTCATTTTGGCGAGGCCACTATCACTCTAGAAGACGTTGAGGTGTTATTAGGTTTGAAAGTGGATGGTAAGCCTGTGGAGGGGATGACACCTGAGAATTCTATGGCACAGTGGATGGCGATGTGCTTTAGATTGTTGGGAATTACACCCGTTAGTGACATGTTTGATGGGAATAACATTTATGCAGAGTGTTTAATCAACGAGTGTCTGCGTCCGATACCAGAAAATGCCCCAAGAGAGGCCTATACACAGAGGGCCCGTGCATTACTGTTACTACTGATTGGAGGTTTCTTGATTCCTGACAAAACGGGAAACAGAATACCACTTTGGATCCTGACAATACTCAAGGATTTGGATGTCTGTGCTACCTACAGTTGGGGGTCAGCTGTGTTAGCGAAGTTGTACTTTGCTCTGTGTCAAGCTTCCGCACCCGGGAAAAAAGACATTACCGGATGTTATATGCTGATGCAGGCGAATTTTTTTGTTTCTTTGTTTATTTATATTTTTTTATTATATTTTTGTTTGTTTTCCTAATTTGTGCCTTTTCTGTTTGATTTAAAATTTCAGTTATGGGTTTGGGAGCGTATCCCAAGACTTCAACCAAAGAGGAAGGTTAAAGATGAGAGTTACTTGGTGCCGGATGCACCATTAGGCAATAGGTAATTATAGATTTATTTTATCAATTTTTATTTCCTATTATGTCTCAATCCAATGATTTATTTTATTATTTTTTATTTCGTATTATGTCTCAATCCAATGATTTATTTTATTATTTTTTATTTCCTATTATGTTAAAATCCAATGATTTATTTTATTATTTTTTATTTCCTATTATGTCTCAATCATAGGTGGAAATGCCCAAAATCCAAAGCGAACATCGCCACTCATTGTGTTGCTGGCATCAGGGATCAGTTATCTAGCCTAAGGGATGGGGATGTAAGTATTGATTTAAGTTGGTTAATAAAATTCCTTTTCATATTTTTCTCTATTTTTTTCTACCAATTTTTTATTTTTGGACAGTTTCTATGGACTCCATACACTCCCTTCATCGACGATCTCCCTGATTTCTGTAAAGAGGGGGTTAATTTCTACCTCTGTAGGACGTGGATCTTTTGTTGGGCCATCAGAGAACCATACGATCCCAATTGGGTCCTTCATCAATTTCAATGCGTCCAAACTGTGCCGGAGTACCCGTTAATCAATGACATTGATTGCTGGAATGCGATACACCACGGATGCCTTGGGACTGGAAAGGCATATGATGATTGGGTGCAAAAACACACTGAGGTACGACCTCATTGGAATGTGAGAGATCAGCACGTGGTCCCTCATGAATTGGGTGATCCAGAACTAGGTCCTCAATGCACATCGGACTACATGCCGTGGTTTCAAAAGAAGACTATCAGATTTATGACTGATCCCACTCAATGCGGCCCTCTGGCACAGGGTTATCACTCGTCTTCATCTCTGGAGAGATTTTATGTAAGATATATATCGATATTTTATTTTAAATTTTTTTTTATATTTTAATTCTTGCTATATCTTACACTTTATTCACATGGTTCAATTTTCTGCAGTCTTCAAATCTCAGCGACATATATCATCTCGCTGATGCAGCCTTACGGGAAAATCCAAGCCTCGGTGGTAGTCTAGAGGATAAACTCTTCCAAATCTTCGACAAGAGTTTCAGTGCCCTGAATTTGGGCCCACGTGATATGAGCACTCAGTCCGATACTCAAGTTCTTCAGAAAAGACCCCCTGAGTCAAGTCAAAATGTGGTAGTCACGCAGAAAACAATATCGAAGCCTACTGGAGGAGGAAGGAGGAAGCGACCGGGAATTTCAGATCGAACAATCATAGTTCATCCCAATCCAACTTCGATGCAAGAAGATGATGAAAATGATGAAGGCAATGAAAGCGATGAGGATTACTACATTAGGGGCGAAGAAGAAGAAGAAGAAGAAGAAGAAGAAGAAGAAGAGTCCTCTCCACCTCGTGTTTCTTCCCAAAAGAAATAGAAAATGGTCGAGGTTCGCAAGAGTGATAGGGTTAGTAAACCGGCCAAGAAAAATACTCCCGGCGACGGGGCTATAAGGAAGAAAAGGTCGTCAAAGTAATTCAATTGTAGGACTCTTTAATTTATAACTCTTTCATGTATAAATGTTGTAATTTGGATGATTTGGGATTTGAATTTGTTAATGTTTGTTTTGATGTGTTTAGAATGTGTTTATAGGTAATTTTATTCGTGAAATTTGGTTTTGGTGCTGTTTTGATAGGTTGGGATTGGTTTAGAAACCAATCCTTTATTTTTTTCAAAGTGTCTGTCCAAGGTCGGATTTGAGAAATCCGACCTTCTACTTGTTTTACGAAGAAATCGGATTTTGAGAATCCGAACTTAACTTACACGGATTCTCAAAATCCGATTTAAACTTACTCGGATTTCTGAAATCCGGCCTTACGCTAAAATCGGATTTTAAAAATCCGACTTTGGTCAAAATTTTATTTAAAAAAAAAACTAAGTGTTTTTCTGAAAATATATTATTTTAATATAATAGGGTCGGATTTTTAAAATCCGATCTTCTCTTAATCTTGATTAATTTCATTAATTTTTCGTATTAAGGGTAGGTCGGATTTTGAGAATCCGATTTAGCTGGAAAATCAGATTTTAGGAATCCGATATCGGTATTTTGCTCTTCCCCAAAATTCGACCTATATTTATCTCTATTCCTTTTTTTTGAACTATTTTTTAACTCAAAAACTCGTGGTATAGGAGTTGTTTATCACTGTAATGTATTTGAAAGCCTCTCTCCTCTTTACCCAATTTTTTTACTTTTTGTTTTTTTTGAGAAATAGTAATAATCACTTTAAAAATGCTTCCACTTAGAACCTTACAGACCATATCATTATTGCGGATGAAGGTACTATTTTTATAGAGCATTTAGGTCTTGTTTTGACGTTTACTCATTTTAAATTTTAACTCATTTTACCTCTTAAACACAAAATCCAATGGAAAAGAAAACATCATCCAAATAACTTTTTGATTTACATTTTAAATTCCAACTTCAAACACTTTTATTAGTGTAATGACCATTTTATAACTACAAATAGTTCAGTGATAAATTTGTTGAGTGATTGTTTTTGGAAAAGTTCTTTTTTGCAGTGACTATAATTGACAGTATTTAATTGTTTAGCAATGACTCGTACTTGATATTTTCAAAATGTAGTTCAAAATATTTTTTTCAAAATTAACATCCAAACAATATTTTCATTTCCCATTTAGTTTTCAACTTGAAACACTTTCCATTTTTAAGTGACAAAATGAAATGTAAAATGACGTCCAAATAAGCACTTAACTTTCAGACATCCTAGTGTTTATCAATTAGAAAATGCCAATGGCCGACGTCATTTAACGTCAGCCTCGAGTAAGATATGATTCTCGCGACTTAATTTATTAGTGCACATCTTGAAAATATGAAAAAGATATGATTGTCCTCTCTGTTTCCTATTGTAAAAATGTTTTTCACTTTTGTTGTTGGAGAATTTGCAATTTTCTCCGAGAGACAGCTAAGGAAGCTTAATTGTGATTCTCAAATCAATATAGGTTGCATGTGTTAATTAATTGAAGAAAAGCTACACTTTCAAATTATTATAGGTTGCGGCGCGCGGGCCTAAAAACGATCTTGTAGAGAACATTGAGAGATCAAACTAGATTAGGTTGACTTAGAGGAAATTGTCACTTTAAAAAAGAAGCAGAGGGTTCAATTCTCTGAATAATTTTCAAAAAATTTCATATACCAAACACTCCAAGAATAAATTTCTAACATACTTCACTCATTGTCACTTTCTCTTTTACAAACAAATACTTTAAATCTTCACATGCAAAAAAAAAAGGTGATTTCATCTCTCTTCCTCCATTTCAGCCTAGGTTTTACATTAAAAACACGGGCGAACTAAATGGGAACAAATAATGCATTATTTGCCAGATCAAGTCCATAACTTCTATACTTGCTTTTAGTAAATAACTTAATGATTAATTATAGTATAATCTATATATGCAAAGAAGATTCGTAGACGTATTGAGTTTATAAATAAAGAAATAATTTTGAAAAATATAGATTATTTGTTAATGATTTGAATATTGTTTAGTAATTAATGGAATTACTTTAATAATCGATATCGTTGTACTATATAAATTTAACAAAGAAAATTATTTTACAAAATGAATGGAGTAATTTTTATGTTTATAAATATTTGATGATATACAATTTCCCTCCTATTTTTCACATGCTTTGTCGTAAAATAGCTCTTTACTTGAATCTGAATTTTTTTTTTCTAAATCTAAAAACCGGTCGACCGGCAGCGATGACGTCCGAAAAGTGGCTGGCTGACCGGCCTGACATCCCAAAAAGAAAATGACGGCATGGCCGCCGTCCACCTTTAAACAAGACGGCAAGGTCGCCGTTTTGTTATTACCTGGCGAGCAGCGCCGCCAGCAAGGCCTTTTTTTTTGAATAACTTTTTTTTTAATTATTTATTGTTCTTTAATTAATTTTGTTTCTTTCAGTTCAGTAATTTATTTTATTTAGTATTTTTTGTTGCTTTTTAATTTAGTTTTTAATTTATTATGAAATACTATTAGTTAATAAATAACTTAATGGTTAATTATAGTATAATCTATATATGCAAAGAAGATTAGTAGACGTATTAAGTTTATAAATAAAGAAATAATTTAGAAAAATATAGTTTATTTGTTTGTAATTTGAATATTGTTTAGTAACTAATGGAATTACTTTAATAAGTGCCTGATCATATCAGAATTGGAAAACTTTTCCCAGTTCTTTGATTCGTGTTATCATGATTAAAGTATGTAGTCTCAATAATAATGCTTGGCATGAGACTCGGAATCTGAAGCTGGGGGATTTGCCACCATGCGCTGCCGAAATGCTCCATTATGCAAGTGGAAAGCTCTATTGGGTCTATTGGGTCAGCATTAACGGCTTTGATGGTTATAGGATTGCTTACTTTGATTTGTCGAATGATACTTACGGCGAAATGGAACCACCACCAATTGACAAACACAAAAATGGAAAACGTTATTGTGAACTTGGAGAAATAGGGGGCTGCCTTTCTGTGTTTTACGATGATTGTGATGGAAGAACTCGCGGAGATGTATGGGTAATGAAGGACTCCTCCTCGATCAAGGTTGTTTCTATTCCTTATGTTTTTTCTGATGAATGTTACTGGTGCTCCAGACCACTATGCTTATCGGTATATGGTGATTTACTGTTTCTTTTACGCAAAAGTTGGTACTTTACCGTAAAAGCAGCGACTCATGCTGGATGTATCCACATTTGAGTTCTGTTCAGAATGTAGTGATGTATGTCAAAAGCTTAGTTTCGCCACATGACGTGTGATTTCTGATTTTTTCTTTAGGTTCTTTGTATAGTTTTATATAGTTTTATGACATGAAGGAAACCAAAAGAAAGAGAAAGGTTGGATTCCATTGGCAGCACCAAAAATATCGAGGACGAAGAAGCTTTACTTAATTATTATATCGAACCATTAATGATGTCAATTACCCACATACTCTCAGTTCTTACATGTTGGTTGATTTACTAAACATGTAAGAACTGTCCCATCCCTAAGCTCTGTTTGGAAGGTTTTTTTGACGGTTTTTTCAAAATAATTAAATAATAACTGTCCTATTCCAGCATAATGTTGGTTGATTTACTAAACATGTAAGAACTGTCCCATCCCTAAGCTCTCTTTGGAAGGTTTTTTTGACGGTTTTTTCAAAATAATTAAATAATAACTGTCCTATTTCAGCATAACTTTTTACATTTCCAATGCGACTTTTTCATTCCTAATACAAAAGACACCTAAAACACACACACTGAAAAAACGATCTAAAAGATTCCTAGCTCCTCTCATCATGTTTTTTTTTTTTCGTAGTTTATGGATTTTGTGATGCACTTATCAGGTTGATTTACTATGATTAATTCCAAGCTCCTTTCATTTTGCTTTTGATTTTCGTAGTCTACGGATTTTGTAATGCACTTATCAGTTATTTGGGGAATTGAATTCGATAAACTTGAAGGTTATTATCAGATTGTTGAAAATTCATAGCAAGAAAGTTTAAATTTCCCGGTATCACATCTTCACGCGGATTGATGTTGGAATGCTCATAACCAGTTTGTAGCGGAGTGACAGTGAAATAATGGCTAGTGTTGTATGCGTTTCTTAATCATCATTCTTTGTTGCTTTATGATATCATCTGCAATAATGATCTTACTCCATTAACGGCCAGAATTTGAATTTCAGTATTTTGAATTTCAATATTCCAAATAAACAGTACTTCTAATGATCACTATTTGTAGCTCAACATTTCCATTCTCCAAACTTACACGAACAAGACTTCATCCGACCTGAAAGATTTGTTTCCGGTTGATACTATACTAAATATGAAATTCTAATTAAAACAGACAATCATTTTGAAAACGAGGGAATACTACAATTGTAATCTATTAATCATAGAAATATACTTAATGGACCTCTAACACGTAAAATTACTTTCATTCGTCAGTCGATATATAGTAGTTTTCTAAATATGGTTAATTATTCCAAATAACGAGCTTTTCTCTGTTTAACGAACCCGCATGCGAGGTATTTCACGTCCCTTGTCCTTATCGGGACTCATTTTATATTGTGGGTTCTTGCAATGGTCTGGTTTGCGTTTGGAACCTCACTGATTTTTTTATTTGTAACCCTTGTACTAAAAAGTGTAGGAAAGTGCCTCACATGGGTACTAAAGAGTCTGAGTGCGGAAGTTTGTTTTTTCGATTTCGGTTGCCATTATGATAAGTTGAGTGACGATTATAAAGTAGTTGCGGCATATAAATTTTGAGTGCATTTAGTTCAGAGCATATAATCACAGTGTATAGTCTAATGAGCAATTCTTCGGCCAAGGTGGTTGATTTACAGATTGAGATTCCGCGTTTTGGTGCGGGGTGTTATCTTG